ATTCGCGCTATTAACGCGTAAGCGGAGATATAATCCGTCTTATAAATCGTTCCAAATTGGTAGAACGAAGCTTATTTGCCATAATTGATTTGTTACAAGAAACGAAATCTATCTTTTTGTACTTTATATGGCGTGTGGGGGGATGATTTTTATTAAAAATTTCAAATAAAAAAAAAATTTTCATTTTATTTTATTTCATTAATTTTTTCATGTTATTACTGCTGCTCCGTAAACCTTAAAAGGCAGTCGGAACATTCAGGGCTTCGCCCTGATACGAGCAGTCTTGTTTCTACCTTTATATTTTATCTCAATTAGTGTTCGGATATTGAGATAATTCTGGGCCAGAAATCAGTTACGCTGTTTTCGTCCGTTGGCATATTTCCGTAGCAAGAAAAAAATCAATTTTTGTTTGCTTGCCTCAAGGCTAAACATTAAGAGGTACACAACTTTCGTCTTTTCATAAGAGTCCTAATAAATTTTAAGTATATTTATAAGATCATCTGGCTCGTCAATCAGGTCAAATTGTGATACATCAAATCGTATGAGGCATATAAAACAAATCGATGCTCATTCGGAAGTGACAAAAAAGTTTCCAAAATGCCAAAATGTTCTATTGCGCATAATGGATCTCGTTATTTTCTCGGAATGGAATGAGCAGAGCTAGAATGACGTGATGTATACACCATTTTTATTATTGTTACAAATGAACTGCTCGGGAAAAACTCCGAATTGAAAAAAAAATGTGAAAACTATTTATTCAAAGTGCTGATTAACTTCGACTCTCGTGAGAACTAATTTCGGGGTGATCAGAAATACTCTGAAAAACTTGGGACGACTGAGCAACTTCTGAATGGAGACTGCAAGCTCCACATCATTTTTGATCTGTCCTTAAAAAGAACTAAATGTGTTGATGCGACTTCGTCATAAAGAAACCACCTTATCCGCCGATATCGTCTCTCTAACTCTTACGGCGTCTAATATCAGATCTGGAAACCCTTCAGTACACAAGGTGTACTCCCGCGTTTGCAAATCACCAACGATGCTTTCGCTGCTGTGCTCAAAGTTTCTTTTGATGATCAGATCATGATTCCTGAAGGTGCATGCGTTGTATTGCAAAAAATTCCTAGCATGTTTTTCTCGATTCCAACTAGAATCCTGAAAAAACCTAAATATGGCCAAAACTCTGCTGCTTTGTAAAAGTTAAAATTTGGTGAGTTCAAACTTTGGAAAGAAAAATATGCTTCCTTGCGCTCTTCTCTTACTATTATAATCTATTAAAAATGACTTATTTTGCTAGTATTGAATAAAGCTAAAGTACATTGCAAATCAATTATCAGCAATTGTGTTTCACTGTTATAGATAAAGACCAGGAAACACCATTATAATCGATTTTTAGCTATTTTTTGTTATTTGCCATTCAATTTCAACAAGGGGCTGGTTGTTTAGGTTATGGGGGTACCTCAGGTGGCGGGGGGATCTGAGTCAAGTGGAGAGTGGATCAGGTGGAGTAGAGATGGTTCAGGTGGGAAGGGGGCAAAAGGGCCGAAGGTTGGGGTGGGGCAGAGCAGCTCAAAAATCGATATAAGGCAATATCGAAGCTCGGCAAGTTTTATTTGGCAGTCAAGATAGATCATCTAGATTATCTTAAGTGAATCTTGGAAAAAATGTTTGAAATTAATTTTCTCTAGAACAAAATTATAGCAGTTTGTTCCCAAAAACGCTTGTTTTGAAAAAGAAATAGCTGACTTTTCATTTTTTTGGTTTTCAAATTGCAGCTTCCAAAAAGCAGGGTTTTTATTGTTCCGAATTTCCATACGAAAGTAACGGAATATTTGTGCTCGGGGTGGGTTTTTTTCTTCAGACAAATTTCTACAGACACTTTTTAACTAGCCATTTTTGACAAACTTTTTTTATATCATTCACAAAGTATTGATGCCTTGAGCTCAAATTTGCAAAGGTATTTAATCTGTGATCATTTTTTGTAAAGTTATGGGGGTTTAAAGAGCCATTTTGGCCAATTTGGGACAATTAACGCGCGATATGTTTCGCGCTATTAACGCGTTAGCGGAGAGTTAATCCGTCTTAAAATCGTTCCAAATTGCTTGAAAGAAGCTTATTTGCCATAATTGATTTGTTACAAGGAGCGAAATTTATCCTTTTCTACTTTATATGGCGTATGGGTAGATAATTTTCGTAAAAAATTTCAAATTTTAGAAAAAAAATTCTTTTTACTTTAATACATTTAATTTTTTAATGTTATTACTGCTCCAGAAAACCTTAAAAGGCAGTCGGAACATTCAGGATTTCGCCCTGATTCGATCAGTCGTGTTTACTTTCATTTTTAAGTTCTCATGTAAGTATGCAACGATTATCGAGGGAGTAATATTGACTATTGCCGCACCTACTTAGATTATTGTTTTGTTGACACCGCTACGATAATTTATCGATTTATTTCTAACGTCAAAAATCTAGTAGTGCAGTAACCTTTTACGCCCCGCTGGGTTAAATCCCTGAATTTGCCAACTATATTAGTACCTGAAGAAAGTTTAGGAATTTGTTTATAGAATGAAATTAATAGAAATGTTTAAAAAACGACTTTTTACAATTTTTTTTCTTGGAAATCTACGCACGAAAAATCAATTAGACTTTGTTAACTTTGAATTTTTTAACCCAATTTTTCACCTGTATTCATATTGAATGATTCCCAAGCCAATTTTTAACCGAATTAACTGCTTTGCGTGCTCATTTATTTTTGTTTACACGCTTTTTTTTTCGATCGCTTTGTACACAACATTCAAAGCTTCTTCGATTTGTCTTAACTGGCGGCAGTTGCAATAGCACATCAACCCATTGGAAATCGTTTAGAAAAATGAGTTGAAAACATAGATAAGGTTGGTTTCTCTAATCCTATATTGAAGGAAAGGAGCTTTCTCATTATTTGTTTATAACAGGAGTTGAGAAAATGAATGTTTTGTCTCGTTTTGTGAAGTGGTTGAAAAAGTTGCTGTTTTGCGTTAGCTTACTTGGATAGAAAGGGAGTTGATTGCTCATTTTCATAAAAATAGTACAAGGGCTTTATTTATTACCCTATGAGTCTGACCGGCATTGTTGAAACAGTGAAAGAACCAATGCAAAGTGATTGCCCTTTCTCAGAGACAATACCGATTTGAGGCCAAAAAATGTTAATTCAAAGCTTGAAGCAGAATTATAATGAATAATAGAACCTTTGGTCTTAAAACGGTATCGTCTCTGAGAAAATGCAACAATTTTGCGTTGGTCTGTTGACTGTTTGAAGTGCCATTTTGAAAAAAAAATCATTTTCCGGTCTTTTTAGAGTCATGATTTCACAAGTAAAATCAAAAACGGAAGATGTTTTATATAATTTAAAAGGCACATTCAAGAGTGCCGAAGAACAGCATTATCAAAACTGAAGATGAGGTAAACTGTAGTAAAAAAAATGATGCTTTTTGAAAACTTTGAAGTCTGAATTTTCGGCAATTACGCCTGAATACTGGTTTGTTTTGAAGGAAAGCCTAGATAAAAGTTTAAAAATTTTTAAAATTATGATTCGCTTACCAAAATTAACAAAGTCACGCTTAACATGTGGCTTCAAATACAAAAGAAAAAATGTCTTGTCATCCTTGGCCGATTTGAGTAAATTAGTTTGTCAATGCTTTGGGTTGATTCTTAAAATTTTGGCTCAGTTGATCAACTTTTCAATTTCGGCACTGCTTTTCCTCGGCAAGGTCTTACTTCGGCACTGTTGCACTGCTTCCTTTAAAACTCTTAAGCTATAATCTAACAGAGTAGATTCAAGGAGTGAAGTCTAAAAGAACGAAAGAAGACTGCTCATATGAGGTTTGAGGAGGGTGTTCAAATATCAATATAAGATTGTATCGAAGCTCGACTATAGCTGGTTTTTTTAGCAGTCAAGATAGATACTCTAGATGTATCTAGACAAAAGTACTAGACAAGAATTTAGACAAGAAGTATCTTAGACAAAAAAATCATAAAAATCGCAAATCCCCCAAACATAAATCTTTCCTATTGGAAAAACAACCCAAATGGTGTATTACTAGAAAAACATTTTTTATTTAAAATAAAAATAATAAACAAGACTGCTCAAATCAAGGTGAAGCCCTGAATGTTCCCTCTGCTTTTAAAGTTTTATCGATTAGTGTTCCTTTTAAAAACATGGAGAAATGTTTGTTTTTTAGTTCTTTTTCTTAAATCATCCCCCCACACGCTGTTAAAGCTCAAAACGATGTATTTGAAAAGGCGCAAAAGGATGTAAGGTTACAGCTCAAAAGGATATAATGACGCGAAATATATCGAGAGTTCATTGTTCCAAATGTGCCAAATTGGCAATCTTTAAACCCTCAAAACTTTACAGAAAATGATCACAGGTGAAATGACTTTTTGTATTTGAGCTAAGAACAACAATACTTTTTGAATAATATTGAAAAATCGTATCAAAAATTGCTAGTTAAAGGCTCGAAATTAGCCTGGAGAAAGAAAACCATCCCGAGCACAAGTGTTCCGGCACTTTCTTCGAAAGACGGAACCAGATGTTCTAGCGGGGATGCGACCTTCTCAATTCTGGTTGCCAGTTCATTCAAAGGGTCCCCTCTTTGGTATAATTTTACGACACCCGCAAAATTTTCTGAAGGCAACATCGGCACCAATATATACAAATTGAGGGGGGAACTTCTAATCGGCGCCAAATTGTTTTTCTTCAAAAGTTTGACTGCGGTGCAGAAAAATTAAAATTTTGACAAAGTAGGGTCTTTTTAGTGTTTTTGTAGAGCTTGTAAAATCAAATTGGTCGACCTAATAAAAAGTTGACAAAGTTTATAAATTTATATATATATATATATATACCACCAAAACACCCTGGGTCATAGTTTTTTTACCACTCTCTAAGAGTGTTTAGATAAGTATAATATAAAATATGAAATATAAATGAGTGCTATGGGTAAGAATAGTTGATTTTGACTGACCGTAACTGCAAATGATTTGGTGACACTAGCAAGACTCGAAAGCGTGAATGCAATGGGACCCCCATCTAGTTTGGACAGGAACAAATTCACCTAAAAAATACATACATAAAACTATCTCCCCTATATCAAATTAGGGGCAGATTGTTCACTTGGTTATAGGTAATATTTTTCAGCCAACCAGATTTGAGCATAGTACATGCAGGCCTTACTGCTTGAACTTGCCATTTAAGTTTAGGAGGGAGTTCATCGGTCCATTAAGGGGGAGATTGTTCATATGGGCCAATCCTAGATCCCCGCCTGCATCAAATCAAAAACTCAGCCAATAGATTATCATGAACGTAATCTCCGAAATTAATTTTTCAAAAGCCCTTAGACGATCAGTGTAAATTCTGAACTTTCTCCGGCTGATAAAATTAGCTCGAACTTAGAAGTGCAGTTAGAAGTGGAAAACTAGCAAACTCGATGAATAAATAATTCATCATGATTTGTAGAAAAAGCCAAAGTTTACCTGAAGAGCGAAGCTTTGTGGTGCATTCGATGGAATTCTGAGGTTGTAAATATGCTGAAGTGGAGCATGCGCCTAAAAAAATAGAAAACAAAGTTAAACAAAACTGCTCGTATCAGGGCGAGGCCCTGAATGTTCCGACAGCCTCTTAAGGTTTATGATGTATGCAGTAATAAAAAGAAAAAATTAAATGTAATAAGTAAAAATGATTTTTTTTTTAAATTTGAGATTTTTTGTAAAATTCATCCCCCCACACGCCATCTTAAGTACAAAGTGATATATTTTAACCTAGTAGCAAATCAATTAATGGCAAATAAGCTTCCGCCAACCAATTTGGAACGATTTCTAAGTCGTCAAAAATCCAGTCAAAAATGGCTAGTTAAAAAGTCGAAATTTGTCTGAAGAAAAAAACCACCCGAGCACAAATACTCCGTTACTTTCGTTACGAAAGTCGGAACAATTATACTAGAGATGAGCAATCTGCTAAATTTTAAGTACTGTTCCAGCGACCTTGACACATGAACAAGATTAAGTTAAGCTGAATATAGGCAACATAAATTCCAATTTTTTCTCCCCATTGCTTCAGGCGGAGTGGGAACTGTTATCCGGTTCAAAATTTGTCTATGCTTAATTAACCTCGTTATTACTAGTTAGGGTTTTAGTTAGTACTTATCACAGGAAGGCGGGGTTTCGTATTACCATGAAGGGAGGGTGCTACTATGGAAGAGGTTCACTAAATAATAAAAATTAGCAAATTTGAAAGAGATTTAAGTTATTTTTAATTAGATTTCAAGCGACCTTCAGACGCAAATGATTTGTACAAAATTAACGTTTGATTGCAGAAAATTTGTTCTTTTAAAATATTTCGGTCTGTTCCAACTTTTCAAACCTCTATTAAACTTGAAAATTTAAAAGCGTTTTTCTCAAACTGGGTTGACATAAGGTGGAAATTGAAGAAGACAAAACTTGCGTAGAACTTGCGCATTATAAATATGATGTTGTTTTGCGGATTTTGGAACAACAAGGGTATAATATCTAAAAAATTGTAAAAGTTGAGTTCCTTTTGTGTGACATAAGGTGAAAAATGATGAAGTCAAAACTTGCTTAAAAGTTGCGCAGCGTGAAGTCCAAAAATTTGTATAACTTAAAATTGTTTTTATTTTGTAGCCAAAAAATATCATTTTACTATAAAAAATACCCGGCATGGCGACAATTCGTTGATCAGATCAAAAGAAATTAGATGAAAGGGTTAAATTGAAAAACACAGAAACTAAAAAACAAAATTAAGCGTGAAACAAAGAGTGAAATGAGGAAATGCCCAACCCCTCTGCGTCCTCGGAGGATAGTTCCAACCCAAATTGATTCAAAAAAATTGGCGTATTCAAGTAAGGGAGACTCGCAACTTTTGTCGGAATATTTAAAGCATAAAGCAGTCATGCCGATTTCAAAGTAGAGCTCAGGTATAAGTGCCAAAGCAATGAATGGCTTTGAAAGCTTGCGCGTTTTTTCATCTTCTGGATACACTGGTGCTAATACAATTTCTTGAATTTTACAAGAATTGGCCTGAGCGAAAAGAAAAATGCTAATTTTTATAGATTTTTTATTGAATACCTTCTGAAAAGCGTTAGCAACAAAAAGATGTTGGCAGCAAATGCTTCACATGGTCTCCTCAAGCATCGCCAACCGCATAAATAAGTTATAAATTTGTGGCGGCTTAGATTGAATGTTTTTTCTTTTGTGGAAAAACTGCTGTTTTTTCTTAGTATGTTTTCTTCTCATGACAGAAATTGCTTGATAAAAGTGGAAAAAATCCACCGAAACAACGACGTTTTAGATATTAACATTGTTCAATTACTCTTATCCTATTATTAATTCATTTAAACTGGCTAACTATTTCAAAACTGGTGCATCAACCAAAGCTTGAGGTTTAAAACTTGATAAAATGACGAGGGAAAAGCTTTAATAATCCCATCTGCATTTCAGACTGTGCTGCTTACAAAATTTCCGAGTTTTTGTTGGTGGCAGATTTTAACATTCAGTCTTTGTCATGCCACTCCGAATCAAATAGAAGGAGGTTATCTTCTGTGAGGATCCTGCTTAACACCAAATGCATGGAAATGTCTTTAAATGAGTGTGGGCTGAATCAGTTGCTCTTTGTCGCTGAACAGTTCTGGCGCGTGACTTGTACTTAGGCAAGTTAACAACTGGTTCGAGGCTAACAATGCCAGCGTTTTTCACTTAAATTATACTGGGGGGCTCCAATGTTTTTTCTTTCTTTTTGATAGCACGCTTAACCTTGAACTAATACAGTTTTTAAACAGACCAAGAAAAAGGTTTGATAACCCTAACAAAAATAACCCCAGTTTTTTTTTGAAAAATTGCTTGTGTGATGTGTTAATTTTTTCTACACTGAATGTTGTCAATTTTTCCTAACTTAAACTCATGCCTTGCAGTCATGCTAGCTTAACGTTTTAAAATGAAAATGTTTTTTTCTTAAAAATTTTAAACTTTTGAAGTTTAAGTTCGCGCACGTGTCAAAATTGTTGAGTTTGTCACTCACTTTTTAATTTCTCCCTCGCAAGGAAAGTTTTTGTGAGCAAGTTTTCTAAATGTGCTGAATATTTTATCTGCAATGGTGGCGACAAACGCTTCACACGCTCTCTTCTAGCATCGCCAAACGAAGTCATCAGTTATATGGTTGTGGCGGCTTTGATTGAAAATTTCTCCATTGTGGAAAAGTTGCTGCTCTCTCAGACTGTTTTCTTCTCATGACAGATATTAAAGGCATGATAGTATCAGCAAGTGTAATGATTTCTTTGATAATGGAAGGAAGTCGTCGAAACGAAGATGTTTTAGATACTACTTTTGTTCAATTACTCTTATATGCTGGTAGTTCATTTCAACTGTCTAAGTACTTCAAAACTTGTGCAAAATTAAAAACTTGGATTGCTCGCTGGATTGCAATCCACCCTCAGTCACCGCAAAACACTTTGCACAATTCGCATGGTTTCTTAATCTCCATAATTAGCAAATTTTTGGGCTGCTAGATGTCGCTTGCTACGAATTGACGCTTGGTTTGAATTGTCACCCTTTAAAATAGCTGCCAATCGTTGCTTGCAACCAATTTTTGCTTGAAAAAATTGCCGCCCCACAAAAACACACATACTTTATAAAACATCATTTTTAAAGGTTTGGCGAAATTATAATGTTCTCAAACCTTAAAATGCTACGTAAAAGCCTAATTATAATTTAATTTTCGCAGTAATTGACCAATTAATGCGTTGTTTTTGATTGCCTTTTTTTTAAATCCGTTTTTATAGTAAAACGTTAGACCGAGTTCTGCATTTTGAATTACACTAAATTTGGTTTTGACTGCCAATGAATCTGAACAAAATAAATTAACCTAAAACTGCTCATTTTGACGTTAAATGTAGTTTAATGCTGGTATTTATTCGAAAAAAAATGTGTCAAAAGCGCTAATTTTGGTAGAAAATTCAGTTTCTTCAAGGTTACTGATGTTGCCAAAAGTTCAGCAAAAATGACAGTGCTAATTCAAGCTATCCGGACAAAGCACATAAAAGTTGAACTTTGAAACCCGTTTTCTTCAAACTGGGTTAGTTTTAGACAAGAAAAGGAAAGATAAAAATTGCTTAGAGTTTTCGCAGAATTATTATGGAACAAGTAGTTTTGCGAAATTTTAATCCAAAATTGTATTCCAAAAATCTTTCATGAGAAAAGCTATATATAAGTTAAGTAAGATTTTTCAAACTGTTTTGGGTGCTGAAATGAAAGGCAATTAATCTCTAACAGCAAAAAGAGCTGTCAACAGCTACTTAATTTCTACTTAACAGATTTTGCCACATTTGGCATTACTTTGTAGAGAGTTGCAAAATGTTTGGACTTACAGAACAATTAGAAACAGTCATTTTTCCGTTTTTACAGAGAAACTCAAGACGAGAAAATCAGGGTTTCAAGGCTGATGGTTTCAAAATAGTTATGAGCTATCATCGCCAAAAAAAAAGAAAACAATACGCGGCCAAACTGTGCATTCTGTGCATTGTGTGCGGATACCGCAACAGGCCAAAATCAGGTTTGTCGCGGAATCCACATCATTGCTACTTTTTTATCTTCTCTGCTGTTATGGATTCCACAAACAAATTTGCGGAATCCAAAACAGTCTGTGGAGTCCACAAACAAACTATAAGACATATGTATAGTTAAATTGAGCTGTTGCGGAATTCGCAACTGTAAACGGAATCCACTAAGTGTAAGTGGATTCCGCAAATTGTAAGTGGAATCCGCATTTTACTTGAGGATTCCGTTTACATATATGCATATAAGTAGTAGCGTTTAAAAATATATCTTTTAATCACCAGATTTGATTTCAGTAGACTAGGATTTTACTATATCAGTGATTGGGATTAATGGAAACCAATTAAACGATTATTATTTGGGATCAATGAAATCCCAAATACTGAACTATTTCGACGATAGCTATGCGTTGGGTTTATAATCACTCTCAACCTAATGACTCCAAATAATTAATTTTTTCCATATTTATTCCATATAATTCCAGTTTTTGGGATTCCATCAATACCAAATACAGACCAGTAATTGGGATCGATAGAAGCCCAAATACTGATCTAATTTGGCGACATGCTGTGTGATGTATTTCCATACACTCCAAACTCAATGATTCGGATTATTGAAATGATTTGGTGTTGTGCTTCCAAAATACTAAAAGATGACATCCACCGATTTAAGTAACCAATGTTTTAAGACTTGTTTGTGAATTCCGCTGAAAATTGTTAAGTCCTTGCTTTTAAATTCCATTGCTAGAGATAAGATTTCCAGCTCTAGTTTTTAATTGTTCATATGCAGGATCAGGATTTAACAAAATTCCAAATCCACCTACATTTTGCGGAACCCGCTTACATTTGCGGATTTCGCTTACATTTTGCGGAATCACTTTACGGTTACGGAATCCAAAACAACTGGTTATTTTTGTTTGTTGCGGAATCCGCGACACAGCAAATGTGCCGACAAAATTTACGTTACACTCATATGAATCCACGGAAATTTTGTAAGTGGAATCCAATTATATTTTGGGACACGTTTAATGATTAGTTTTTGGAATCCAGGAACATACAGACAAAAAATTGTGCGCCTATCTAGTGCACAGTTTGGCCTCATAATGTAGCAGCTTAGGTTGAATCGTTTCCAAAAACGATATTGCCAACAATTTGGAACCATCTATATCAAGAAGCAAAAAAGGAAACAGAGAAAATTTAGTAAAAAGGGCAATTTGTCAATTTTGAATAACTTTTGCATGCAAAATTTACTTTATAGGTGACCTTGAGACATCTTTTTTATCTGAAATTTAGCTTTTAATGCAAAATTGATCTGAAATAGGTTATTTGCTCTTTTTACTTTACTTTGTCAGTTCCAAGTTTTTACAACTCTCTATAATACAGATTTTCACATTTTCACAAACAAAGAAAATAAGTCAAATCGAAAAAAGAAAAACAAACAAATCGAAATAAGCTGGTCAGAAAAAAACTGATCCAATTGGCTGACCTGCTCAACAACATTTCCAGCGAACCAGGACACAATCGCAACATTCATGAGGCCGACAACTAGCCACACGACCAGCGAAATAATCGGCAGTGTCTCGGTTTCCTTTGTCAAACTGTATATACTCAAGCACGACAACGGCAAATTGGCTGTGAACGTCAGCAACAATAAGCCCGAGAATATCTTATCCGCCTTTGTAAGGGTGTTTGTCATGTATTGATGTTGGGTTCGTAATTGTTCAAACTCCATAATAACTATTTCCTCGTTTTGAACACAAGTCTGAAGTTGGGCGGAAATATTTCGAAAGTGTTCACACAGCAACATGCACGTTGCGACGAAAATGACCAGAGGTAAGTTCATTGCCGATGTTGCCAGCATGTTCAAGCCTATACAAAATTTTCGGTTATATACATCACAATTTTTCAGAACCATGGACTGATATTGATGACTACATCCGTTCAAAAATTTGGGTCAAGCCAGTCATTTTACAATGAGATCACTCATCTGCGAGCAATGGATGATAACTATTGAGTTCATCAGCTCTTCCCGGTTATTCGCAGAATAAACTTTGATCAAAAATGGGCTGAAAACGAAACTTAAACCCTCCATCCCCATCCCGGCTTACTATTTCCTTAAAGGTTTGGTTGTTAAAGTTTCTTATATCACCGTATCACGGTTCTTAGAGTTTTCTAAAATTCACGTTTTTTCCAAGCTAAAAAAATTTTGATGCAAGCTTAGTGGAAACATTTCGAAAAACACTCAAACTAGTATAATCGAAAAAATTTAAATATTGGCATGATAAAAAAAATTATAGTTTTTCCGCAGCAAAAATAATTGAAAAATAGAAGTCAGAACATCAGATGAAGTGCACATCTGCTGCTATATTTGCGCTCTGTCGGCTCATAAATTGTTAAAATGTTACCAAAGCACATGTATTGAACTCAAATTCATTAATTGAGAAAGCTGAATTATGGATGCAATCTGCATCTGTTGGTTAATTTCTTTGAACATGCTCTATTTATTTATTGGCGAAGGTTTTATTGTAAAATGATCAGCAATCGAATGAAAAACACATGTTTTTGGACAAATAAAATAGCAAGCAAGATTGCTTGCGTAAAACAGGCAGGTAAAATCTCCGGGGAGGAACTTTGTACTGGGTGCGTTTCAGTTTTTTCTGTTTTTTTGTTTTCCACACAAAATCAGGTAGCACAAATAATCATCGGAATGAGTCGAGCGATATATCATATTAAATCCTCTTCAGTCGTGATTCAAACGTCTTTAAAAAATTTTGAAAAAGTTTTCCCAGTGTCGAGAAAAACCAGTTTGAAATTTTTTGATTTTGGTCTAATTTCGAGCAAATAAAGTGAGCGAGCAGGCTTATCTTCTTTTTCAAAAGTATTTACCGCAAATAATCATTGTATTGGGTGGAGTGATAAATCATTAAAAAAAGCATTTTTTAGCGCTATATTTGGAATAGAAAACTTCAAAATCTCAAAACAATTTCTGCAAAACAAATTTCATTTTTTTGATATTTTTTTGTTTTTTTTTGTCAGTTTTTGACTAAAACCGTTGCCCGCCTGACCAATTTTACTCTGACTGTCGATTATGCCTAAATTCTATGTTTTCGTCAGTTCCATTTATCACGCAACTCGCAAAAAAACATTAATTTGAAAAAAAAACGTTTGATGTTATTTTAACGAGTATGATCTAAACATTCTGTGCTACTAGCTATCTTTGTTCAAATTAGTTTTAGTTCGCCAAAAAAGTCTGCATCGTATCTTGAAAAAATCTGACATAATTGGTCTCTGACCTAAGAAGAAAAGGCATCCTGCTTTTGGGAGGTTCTTGAATGGAACTGTAAGCACATCTGAGTAAGCTGATGCCCCCACTATGTCCATACAATTGTGGACTATTGCCAAGAACGTCCATAGTAGGTAGAGGTTGAGGATAATCATCATTTTCAGCTTGAGGCATCGCCAAGACCGGGCTTCCATTTGGAAGGGCGACAGTCTAAAATAAATACAAAAACGAACTTTTTGAGCTCTTACGAGTTTTTGTAATGGACAATAAAGAGAAACTCATTTCACCTCAAAACAAGTGCACTTGGCTGTCTCATTTGGTTCAACTTGGTAACACATTGATTCTCTATATTTTTCTTAAGGAGCTGAAATTAAACCTTAAAATTTATCCAAATGAAATTTTAAGAAATGGAAAAGTTAAACTAATAATTAAGCTTCAGAAAAATTAACAAAACAATCATGATGATATGTATGTTTGTACATTTTATGAATGTTCCATGAAGCTTTCTGTTTCAAGGGGTGGTTTTTTTTCAGACCACGGCTCGTTTCCTTTCCAATACCCCCATCCCCCTCCCCCACACACTCACACATTGAAATTCAATTTCGAAAAATTTGTTTTGATATTATTATCATAGAAAAAATTGGCGCCTGGATAAAAAATAACTATTGTGAACAAATTTGTTCTGCATACTTTGCACCGTAAATGCGCCTGCTTAAAACACGACAAAACAAACAATATCATGTCTACGTACCTTTGCGTGGCTAAATGAGTTTTATTAATAGCCTTCTCACGCCAAAAAATCAATTATAAAAGAAAGAGAATTCCGTGATTCAATGGAAAATTCTTCATGTTCTAAACACAAAGGATAACAAGACTGCTCGTATCAGGGCGAAGCCCTGAATGTTCCGACTGCCTTTTAAAGTTTATTGAGCAGCAGTAAGACATAAAAAAATTGAAATTAAATAAAATGAAATGAAATTTTTTTCTTCTTAAATTTGAAATTTTTTATGAAAATCATACCCCCACACGCCATATAAAGTACAAAAAGATATATTTCGTTCCTTGTATCAAATCAATTATGGCAAATAAGCTTCGTTCAACCAATTTGGAACGATTTATAAGACGGATTAAATCTCCGCTTACGCGTCAATAGCGCGAATTATATTGCGCGTTAATTGTCCCAAATTGGTCAAAAAGGCCAAAATGGCAATCTTTAAACCGTCATAACTTTACGAAAAATGATCACAGGTGAAATATCTTTTCAATTTAAGCTCAGGACACTAATGTTTTTTGAATGATATAAATAAAAAATTCCGTCAAAAATGGGCTAGTTAAAAAGTCGAAATTTGTCTGAAGAAAAAAAAAACCCACCCCGAGCACAACTATTCCGTTACTTTCGTATCGAAAGTCGGAACAAAAAAACAAGGCAAGTGGAAAAAAATGTTTTAACAATGGTTCGAACATTCTATGCTACTGAAATTGGCTGAACGACTGGAAAAATAGAATTTTGAAAAGATATAATAAAAAAAGATCAGTTAGTTGCGAGCGGTTAGTTTTTTAGCTATTACATTTAAACTGGTAAATTTCACTTAACTTCATACAAAAATCTGTAAAGCGAGCAGTGGAAAAGTTGACTGCTATAAATACACTTCAAACTTTTTTTCATTTCAATCGTGTTTTCTGTAGTGTTTTCTTAGGAGCCTTCTGTTTAGTGGGAGGTAGCTATTTCATATGATGATTTTTGCGCAAATAGGGCCTCAAGTGTGCCATCATGTTCAGGGGTGGATCTAGGGTTTTCTCGAGGGGCCGGTTTTCAAAAAAATTTTGAACTTTTTGTCGACCTTGATTTTAGGTTGATCAATATGATAATTTGATTTTCCGAGCACTCTCAAAGCCCTTAAAAGACTCTGTCTGGCATTGTTTGGAAAATTTTCTGGCATAGCTTGGAAAATGTTCACTAAAACATTGCTTCCCCTCAAAGTTATTATATATTGGCGCCTAGGGCGCCCTCAGAACAAATTTTAGGACCCCTGTACACTCTTTTTAATCTTTCAGTTGATGTGATGCGCAATGGCCAAAACGTACAAATTTTTCATAATAGATGTGATGACACAACTTGTTGACACTAATAACCTCGCCAAAACAGACAGAAAAAATGTAGGGAGTAGTAAAATCAATATTTCCAATTGCGATTATTGTTAATTCAGCCGTTCTCAGTGTTTTCTGACATTGCACTTTTCAAGCTTTCATTTTCGAAAAATGACAAAGGTTACCAACGAGTACTGGCATAAAATTTAAGGATGATTAACAAGCATGCAATGCATTTTAAAGAGCACAACGGATTATGAACAGATGTATTATTTTGTGTTTTAGTAAAAAATGATTCATGGATTATTTCAAATGTTTGCAAGGGATTTTTAATTTTACTTTATAATTCATTCAAAGTGCCTATAAATATAGCAACCTTGTAATTCATTTTTATTTGATCACGCAAGACTTCTGCAATTGATTTTGCAGCAGACGATTATATCCAAAAAAAAATCTTTTTTTTTCACATCGACTCGTAGAATTTGACATCGACGTTACGAAGACGAACAATTTCTAGTTTTGAAAAAAGTGGAGTTTTTTCTAACACGCTTTTTCTAACATATTAAAAGTGTTGACTTGTTAAGCTTAAAGTTTAAAAGTTAGTTCACATGTTTTGAACTTGTTTTTAGAGTAATGGCGCTTTTAAAAACGCAATTTTGGCTACTATGGTACCAATAAATTGCGATATATTTCGTGACACCACCGCATCAGGCGACGAGGCAATTTGGCTCAGAATTCGATACAAAGTGACTTGAGGTGAACTATTTGGACATATTTATGCGTTTCTACACGTTGGCTTTATCACTTTGCAGTTTTTATAGATTGTAGGTGAAAAATTTCAAAAAATTGAAACGGAAAAATCAATTTTTTTATCATTATTACTTAAAGGGCAGTCGGAACAATCAAGGATAACTCTGATACGAAGACTCTTGTTTATTTGTTCGCAATTAACGCAGTATAACATTTTTTGCAAGTTTTTGGGGCATCTTCGTTTGAACAAAACATAATTAGCGCGGGGGGTACAACAGTATTTCAACAGAGTCAACAATCAAAATCATTTTCAATGTGCCAAAATTTATTTTGAATACTGTTTTACTCATCCAAAATAACTGGCAATAATTATGTTCAATTTAAATATCAAAAAGGCTATTTTAGATGATGCCGCCTGTTACACAAACAAAAGTTTCCCAAGCGCGGCATCATAATTTTTTCTCGACAAACAATTAGCTCATCAAAATTTTCAAATACTTCTCTCGGGTTTGCTCCAAAGCACAACAAAGTTGCCATCAGTTCAAAAACAATACTCAATTCTTTCAAAGTCATCAATTTTTGGCACTGCTGAACTTCAGCAAAATTGAACGCCCCCATTCAAGCAAACTACCAACAGCAAGCTTTGAGATCTCAACATTTTCAAATATCGTCAAATTTTGGCACTGTTGAATACGTTTTCAGTTTCGCACTGTTAAACAATGTTTTGATTTTCAGCACTGCTGTACTGTCCGTAATTTCTCTCTCAACATGTTTCTTCCGACTTTTGAAGAAAGTGCGGATCATTTATATTTGGGATGGTTTTTTATTCATTCAATTTTCGACTTCTTAACTAAGGTTTTTGACAAAAGTTTTTCATCCCATCTTAAAGATAATGTTGCCCTGAGCTAAGATTTAAAAAGCTATTTCACCTGTTTGTAAAGTTTTTTTACGCATCATTTTTTATATAAAGTTACGGGGGTTTGAAAACTGCTAATGTGGGATATCATCTTATAACACGCGTTAGCGGCTAATTTTTGCGTTTTTATATGAAGTTAGGCCAGCAATTTAGTCTTATCAAAATAAAACGAGACGCTAAAAACACCCCTTCTATGTTACATAGCATGTCGGAGGATAAATTGAAGAAAAAAAATCCTTTTTTAATTATTTTGTCAACTATTCAATCAAAAATTTTTTTGATTGGCCTTAAAGTGCAGTCGGAGCATTCAGGGTCTCATATTGATATGTGAGCAGTCTTATTTTGGTTTCCAAAATGGATGTTTTTTCTATATAGTTTATTATTCTGGCTGGGTGTTACTTTGATTATTTTGCGGAAATGTCGTTTTTCGTGTTGATAAATAGTCACAAAAGAATGCACAAAATCAGACCATTTTTATTTTGATTTTTTTGGCTTTACTTTGATCCAATCGACCTTTAAACTTTATAATTCAGGAGAAACTAGCACTCATTTTAGGTGGAAAATAAATGGGAATATTTGATGGCTGTTGGCCTAAATTCTTTGACCCTTTCTATGAATTAATCTTTAAAATCTCATTAAAACAGGAATTGAGTACAGAGCAACCTGAAATTGGACTTGTCACCCTAAGTCTTTTTCCTAATTATTAGGTCAAAAATGAGCCTTTTTTCCTCGGGGACATATTCAGAATGAAATAAAAATTCGATCAATTTTGACTACTTGATTGAATTCTATATTGCAGAGGTCATTTTATTCTATGATAAATATAGAAGCCTAATTTTTTCGCCTTTTTGTGCCATTTGTGTAATTAGAGCAACGGCACTCATTTGTAATTGAAAATAGTCATCTTAATTTAAAAGCCATTATTATTCGTTGGAGAAACTCAGAAAAGCAATTGAAGATAAGAACTGTGTAAATTAAAAGTGACAGCTATTTTTTCAGTGGGAAACAAAAAGAGACAAATTTCAATCAAATTTCTCGTCACTTTTTATTGAATTAGGAAACTAGTCTTATACATACACAGAGTAGTTTATATAATTCACTGGTTTGGGGTATAATTTATGCAATAGAGGACGGAGACCAAGAAAATGATCTTCAAAAAGTTTATTGTTGTTCCGACTTTCGATACCAAAGTAACGGAATATTTGTGCTCGGGATGGGTTTTGTCCTTCAGACAAATTTCGAATTTGTAATGATTACTGAGTGGGATTTGTTCCGCTCACGAGATTTAACACGCAATATATTGCACGCTTATATGATAGGATAACAAATTGACCAAATTCAAATTTTGTCCACAAATAAAAACCGTTCAAAAAAAAAAATGAACAATAAACCAAAACGAAAAGGAAAAAAAAATCATTTTCATTCAAATGATAAACCGAAACCAAGAAATCAACAA